CGAGTGTCTTTGTTATTCCATATTTGGCGTTTCTTGTAATTCTACCTGGTGTTCGGGAGAAGCGACTGATCACCTTAGCCATATTCTCTGTTACTGTTCTTGTGGGAGCGATCTTGGCAGGTACCCTGGTTATCAATGACTTAGCATTTACACTTAGCGACAAACTATTATTTTAGTTTCTCTCTACTTGCCAGGATGGACAGGTGGATCGTCGCGAGTTGTTGCTCAATTAAGGTAAAACTTGTCTTTTTTATATTGCTTTCTGTACGATATCAGAAAATTCTAGGTCACATGTGAATGAGCAAATGCGAGCGCGTATTGGAGTGAATGTTGGGTTAACAAGCATCAACATCACTCTCAGATGTAAGCTTATTTAGGAAAATTTCGATTTACACGCGTATTTGATATCTTTAGATGAAGATCGGCTACTAGAAGATCCATATTCTCGAATCGATATGAGTCAACTCTATTACAACGAAAAATTCGACATTTCAGGAGGTTGATCTAAAGATATCCGTAGAAATATCTTTTGATTGGCTAAGCTCATGTTGCAGTTTCGTCAATGGTTGAAGAGCTACGCTCCGCCTATCAACGAGGATTACCGTATCCTATCCTGAGCATCCTAGAATATTTTTCACTAAATCAAGACGCGTTTGATTGGGGGAGACATTATCGTGTTGCTGGTCACTACACCTATGCTGCAGTGAGGTATGCTCATCTTTGGAGAGTTTAACGGTTGTTAGCGAGATCAAAGTTGGAAAGGGGGGAGGGGAGGGAAGGATAGGTGAAACAGACAAAGGGAAGAATTAGAGTCAAAATTAAACGAAATAGGAAGTTTGTAACTACGGGCATCAATAAGTGTCCAGAAATCCTTATACACAGAGGTGCGTCTAGGATTTCTTACGGAGGTTTTTGAGTTTTATTCTGCATACCCATTGAGAGGCACTGCACTCAATGATGTTTTGCAATTCTGAAAATTTGTTTTTAACGCTTATTATTTCATTATAT